GGAAAGAGCCTGCCTGCTTCGCAGCCTGGCTGGACTTGGCCTGGGCCCAGAAGCTTCTGGTAGGCCCCAGGATGCTGCGTGCTACTTTGCAGCTACTGGGTCTCTTTCGGTTGGGCCTCCCAACTGTCAGTGCATGAGGCTGCGTTTCTCGTCCAGGGCCTGCATGCTGCGGAAAGGCCCAGAAGGCCGTGGAAATGTCTTGGTTGCTCGGCCTGTGTTTCACTCAACCAACTGGCGCGTCGCAACTGCCTGGACCCCAAATATGGAATTGGCAGTCAAAGGCCTCTTGTGATAAATTAGGCCCGCCTTCACTAAGGGCGGGCACCACTGCGACTGGGGCCCCTTAGGCCTGCCGAGGACCCAAATCCTCACATTCCCTCCTCCTTTACTTCGTTAGTCTTCTGAGAAGTCTTCTTATTCTGCAGGCATCTTTCCTTTCAGTTCTCTCTCATAGCCCGCAATCACTTGAGGTGCTGTTCTCAAGAGTTCTTCTTGTGTGAACCGGCGATCTTCCTTGGGATCTAGATGATGTCTGAATCTCACATGATACTGCATTCTCGGTTTAGGAGGGCGCCCTCTGCCTGATGGTCGAGGAACAGGCATCACTTGATGCTCCACGATCTCGTCGATGTCCACCTCTCCATCCATGGTTGGGGGCAGCATTGATCTCCTTGAGGGAAACTGGTCAGTGGCGGTGAAAGGTGCCAACTTGGAGGCATGGAACACAGGGTAAGTGTGTAAGTATGCAGGAATACGAATCATGTATGAAGGTCCATCTGGTTGATCCCCTACAATGTCCAAGATCTCCCAGGGCCCAAAGTACTGTGGCATCAATTTTCGTGAAATCCCCATTTTCTGACCCAGTTCAGATGACTTTGACTTTATCACCTACCTGAAAGTTAGAGGGTCGTATGTGTTTATTCTCGGATGCGATCATAGCCTCCTGAGACTTTCTAATGTTTTCAACGGCCTGCTGAAGCATCTGCTCATATTTAACAGCAAATTCTATGCTGCCAGGTGCTGCAGTGGGTTGCCTTTCTGGTAGCAGAAAGTCAAGTGCAGTTCTGGGTTTCCAACCAAGGTGCAGCTGGTTGGGGTTCATACCAGTAGTACTGTGCACGACATTGTTGTACAGGCTGGCGACGAGAGGTAATTTCTCGTCCCAGTCATCCTGACTTGGCTTAATATAATGCCGAAGCAAGTGTTGTACTACCTGGTTCATCTGTTATGCTTGGCCATTTGACTCAGGGTGATTCCCTGACGTCATTTGGAGCTTGGTACCCATCTATTCAGTTGTCAACTGCCACAGTTTGCTGGTAAACCTAACATCCCTGTCACTTACTATAGACGTAGGTAGTCCGACCTGACCCAGTTATCCAGAAACAGTTTGATGACATAGTCCGTTTTAGCAATTTATGGCATAGCGATCAGTCTTGCATACTTAGTGAAGCGGTCCACTATTATGAAGATGTGCCTTTTGCCAGACTTACTCGTCACAAGAGTATCTATGAAGTCCATGGACACACTCTGACCAGGTCCTTCAGAAATCGGCAAGGGCTTGATAAGCCCAAGCGGAGCCTAAGTCCTAGGTTTGTCCCTTTGGCAAACCTGGTAGGTTTCAACATACCTTTTTGCATCTTGCATCATAGTGGGCCACCAAAATTTCTGCACTAGATTAGCTGAAGTCTTTTTGTAGCCAAAATGACAAGTTGCATCATGACATTCACCTAAAAAAAACTACGCAAAGACTCACTACTGGGAACACACAATCTTTTATTCTCTGCCTTCACCAGAAACAACGAGCCGTTTACCATTGTAAATTCATCCAAAGTTTTTTTGTCCTTGGTTTGAAATCTACGGATGATCTCAGGCATAACTGGATCTTGCTGATAGGCTTTCACCAATGATTGAGTCAGATCGTTCGATATGCCAAATTTAGTAACTAATGCGCCCAGATAATCTGTCCGGCGAGATAACGCATCAGCCACTGTATTGTACTCTCCCTTGATGGGATCAAGTTGATAGTCATACATGTCTATCACTTGTATCGATCGCTTGAGTGCATCAGAGAGCACAGGTTGTGTCTTGATCCAGCGCAAGGTCTCATGGTCAGATCTCACATAAAAGAATCTGCCTAGGAGATAATGTCTCCAATGAACCAGCGCTCTATATAGGGCATAGAGTTCACGCTCGTACGTGGACTTTGCTAGCTTTTGAGATGGCATATTCTTACTCATGTACTCGATCGGTCTCAACTTTTTCCCCTCCTTCTACGCAAGGACCGCGCCTATGTCATATTGGCTGGCGTATGTGGTCACGACAAAGGGTTGCTCAGGCCCTGGGAGCTTGAGAACTTCATAGTGTGTTCGAGCATACTTCAATTTCTTGAAGGTTGCCTCACACTCTTCTGTTCATTCCCAAGGGTTGTCAAGTCGAATTAGATCTGTTAGTGGGGAAGCTATAGTACTGTAGTTCTTCACAAACGTACGATAATAGTCAGTCATCCCCAAAAACGATCTGACCTCAGTAACAGTCTGAGGTCTGGGCCAGTCACGTATGCTGGTCACCTTAGCATCATCCGGCCTCAGTCCATCTGCTAAGATTTTATGACCCAAGTACAAGATCTTGGTGCGACCAAACTCGCATTTCTCCAAGTTAACCTTGTACTCGTGTTGTCTTAGGAGACCTAGCACTATTTTTAAGTGCTCAGCGTGCTCCTCTACAGTCCTACTAAAGATAAGAATATCATCGAGGTACACGTCGATAAACTTGTCTAAGTAATCATGAAAAATCTTGTTCATCACGTGTTGGAACGTACCAGGTGCATTGCATGGGCCAAAGAGCATCACCACAAACTCGTACAAACCGTACCTGGTCTGAAATGCGGTTTTGTGATGGTCCTCATGTCTAATGGCAATTTGATGTTATCCGAACTTCAAATTTATCTCGGTGAAGTACCGGCATCCCTGCACTCTATCCAAGAGGTCGTCGATGCGGGGTAGGGGCTCTGTGTTCTTAACGGTAATGGCATTGAGGCCCCTATAGTCAATGCACATCCTCAAGGTACCTCCCTTCTTCGGTACGAATAGGACTGGAGCACCGTAAGGGGAGGTACTAGGCCGAATCCATCCCTTCTCTATGAGCTCCTGGAGCTGGCGGCGGAGCTTATCTAACTCCGCAGGAGACATCCTATAGATTTATCCTCTGGCACCTTACTACCTGGGACAACCTCTATTGCATGGACAACCTCCCTTTCTACCACGTCTGTGGGCTCCTCAAAAAGGTCTGAATATTGAGTGACGACTGATTCTATCTCTGGGGGTGTTTTTACGGCCTCCCCTTTCTCAGAGACAAATACTAGATACATGCCCTCCTCGCGATTCTGCTTATAATAGTTATAAAAAGATGATGCACACATACACCCGTAGTTTTCTATCAGACTGCTAGCTTTAAACTTCTGCAATCTAACAGATCTACCGTTGGACAATTTGTGAATCAACACCTTTCTATCCCAGTCAAATTGCGGTTGCGTGACCTCGAGGTAGTACATACCAGAGAGCGCAAATGGGTAACCGTTACCCGTACCC